ACTACTGTACATTTTTTTTAAAATTTAACCATTGGATGTATCCAATAATTATAATTTCAAAATGTATATTATGATTATATTTTAATGGTTTATTTTCCTTATCCTTACAAGTTGCATAACCAGATTTGCAATATACCATAAAACACTTAACCATCTTACACAAACACAATTGAAAACATTCAAATAAATAAACAATTTATTATTATATTTTAATTTCGTTATGGTGAAAAATGTATTACAAWATAAAATATAATTTATATTTCATTGTAGACAAAATATAATACGTACCTACCTATAATATTAATATCAATAAACATTTTAGTTAGGTCCAAAAGACTGTTACGCGATCTAGCGGTGAAAACCTTCTTAAAACATATTTCTTGGGACACGATTTTGATAGTCGTGCGTATTATACCTCTATAATCTACCGTGCTATTTATCATTGTAGTGGTTCTTTATATTGTCCTGCAGTAGTAGATAATATTTATATTTATTTATAAACGGGCGGATACAACAATTTCACATCATGAATTTACTTACAATTAARTAGTTAATACAAATAATTACATTCATGGATTTAACAAGATAATAATAACAATAATTATATATGAATAATGGAAAGTAGTAACAACTAATTTTACCAGTTTGATGAATGGGGCCCTCATTGAACAACCTCATCATGCGGTCGTGTAAAGGACTATTTCTTCCATAATTTGTAGTGCGCACAGGAACTACGAAAGGAACGTGGTGTCTGGTAATGTGTGAAGGAGCATCAATACAACCATCCATCAGTTTATTCAGAAACTCTATGTTAGCGTTAACTCTTCTGTCTGCTAGTGAGATGAGACAGAGTTCCTGCATTACTAATGAATGTGTAGGATGCTTTATTTTTAATAAATAAGCTGTGCAAGATAAGAATTTTCTCTGAATACGTTCTAATTATTACTGTATAAGGATCCCATAGGACAGATGCATATTCAAGAAGGGAGTGGACCAAAGAGCAGTTAAATGATTTCAGAGAAGACGATAGAGTAAATTCCTTTGATATACGCATTATTAGTCCAACAGTTTTCTTAGCTTTACAACATATCGTTTCAATATGGGAGTGAAAGTTAAGATCTGAGTTAAAAAAATGATGAATTGATGGAAGTCATTGAAGAATTAGTTTTATTGATTTAGAAAAGAATTAGCGCTTGACTTAAATTTATCAAAAGTTTAATTGCTTGTTAATTATTAAAAACAATCGTCTTATTTAAATTTAAAATTGTAGTTAGCTGCACAATGACAAGCACTTTTCTGTTTTCAGCACAGAATAACGATAAATTATTATTTATGAAAAGTATTTCTAGAAATTCCTTGACAAAACTCATAATTGTGGTAAAAAATTGAGCCCAAATTGACATGCATAATGTGGTAATAAAATATTATATTGAAGTAAAAACTTACTACGCCGTATAGGCGTCCGCAGAAATTGTAGGGGCAATATCAGAATTTGAGGATAAATATTATAATTTTACT